GGACTTTTTTAATGGTTATTTATATAATGGATTGAGATGTTCTATCCTTAGGAATTAAGACTCAGACATGTACAAGAGGAGGTGAATCATTCAATATTTATAAAAAAAGTTGATTCTAATCATTTGATGAAGCTTTAAAACTGATAATTTTTGAATTATAGCACTGCATTATGAGTTAAATTAATTTGTTAGAAATAATTTTTAAGAATTGTTCTTGAGATCCTAGGAGTAAATTATGATTAGATTAAAATTAGTAATCAAGGATAAGCTAGATAACTCATGTTATATTATTATAAATAATGTTAGATTAGTTGCACAAGGATACATAAATAGAATGTATAGGTTTTGTAAGACCTTTTGTAACTATATCAAGATTAGAGGCAATTACGTTGCTTTTAACATATCTGTGAATGAATTTATTAATGAAAATATTTTTATAAAACAATAACTTGGTTTGGAAAGTTTAAATGATCCATATTCTATACAAAGAAATAGTCATTGTGGGACAGGGAAGATTCTAACAGGCCCCTGGCCTAATACTAGTTGTCGAGCACCGGTTGTCGAGTACCAATGGCGGATGAGAGAAGAAGCAGTATACGCCCGACCACATTCAATTGACAGGCCAATCTATTTGACACATCACATATATTAAAGAAATTGTTATGTGGATTGAAACAAGCCTCTAGAACATAATATGTTATATTGAATTCATTTTTGATCGATAATGAATTTAAAAACGTAAATTAGATATGGTGACGGGCCAATCCATATTACACATCACATCTATTAAAGAAAATGCTATGTGGTTTGAAACAAGCCTCTTGAACTTGATGTGTTATATTGAGCTCATTTTTGATTGATAATGATTTTAAAAAAGTAAAATAGATATGCTCCCTTACTAAAGAATATAATAGATGAAATAATCATTGTATAAATTCATGTATATGATATTTTATGTGGAAGTAAAAACATATTTCTTTATCTTGTGTTCTCAATAACCATGTCTAAAGAATTTGATTTGATCATAATTGGAGAACTCGGACGTTTTTAGGACTTGAAAGGAGAGTGAAAATGGTATGTTATATATCAAATCAAGCATACACTAATGACCTACATAGTAGATTTTATGTGATGAAATTTAAACTTTGTATGATCTCTATAAGCCAAACTATGAAGTTGAATTTATATGAATTAGAAAAATTGGTTGATCCAAATTTTATAGGAGTATGATAGATTCATATTTATATCTTGCTGCTAGGAGGCTGATTTTATATTTCTTATAGTTTATGTGCTCGTTATGATCCAAAAGATTCATCTTATAGTCAAGATTTTTCATTGTTTGATAAACACTCTTAGATTAGGTTTATGGTACCCTATATTTGTCTTGTTATTCTGATGTTGACTATGTTGGATGCAAGATCTATTGATATAGCACATTAAAATGTCATTTTTTTGAGTTTTCACTTGTCTTGGTTTTCTAAGAAATAACTTTTGTGATTTTATTCATTGCTGAGGTAGAGTGCATAGCTTAACTATGTTGCCCATCTTTTATGGCTGAAGCAACAATTAGAAGCTTATAGAATCAAGTTTAAATTCATTTTGATTAAGTACGATAACACTAGTGCTATTAACATAACAAAAAGTTCATTCTCATGGACCGAACATATCGATATTATACATCATTTTATTAGGGTTCATAAATAAAAGAGAAATGTAAACTTAAAATTGATTGGAAGTGATTATCAAGTTGTAGATATATTCACAAAACTTTTAAATAAAGAATGTTTTTGTGAACTTGAAAGAAAATTAAGAATGTTAGATCCTCATTTATGATTGATTATTTGTATATTGTTTATTCTATATTATAATTTAATTTACTTTTTTCATTTAATTGAAGGCACTTATCGATATGAAGTAAATGTCTACTAGAATCACCGTTACTTTTATTAGCCATTTACTTCTAATTTATATCTTGCAAAAATTTCTTGACCATTTGGAAATGCACTATACATCCCATTCGAGTTATGTATTACCATCATATCATTTGTGCCAGATTTCAAAAGGATTTTATTTGTTATTTTCTTCCTTGGCTTTTCAGAAATTGAACTTAGAATTGATGATTTGTCTGTTTATATGTCTTTTAACCACCCACTCCTAGAATCATCCTTCCTTATACTAATCATCTACTGTCCATTGGAAATACACTCCACACCTCCTTTTACTTCCGTATTACTATTATATTGTAAGTGTCAAACTCTATAAGAAATACATTTGTTGCATGGGTTTTCCTTGGCTTTTTTTTTTTTAATTTCAGCTTAGAGTTATGTTTTGTCATTACCAACCTCGTTGTATTTTTTTTCTTCTTTTTTGTGCAAATGCGAAGCATATTATATTGTAATGACAATGCATGCGTGAATCTTCAATGATACTTGGTTTGTACAGCAAAGTAGGTGGGTTGGTCTTCTGTAACGCGGGTAAACTTGGGAAGGCTTCTATGTAACAATTGTTTCTTTATGACTTAGTAGAGAACTGAAAGTAGTGCATGGTGCATGTCTGTTCTAGTGTTTTGGTGTGCGAATCTTCAAAGACCCTGTAAAGGAAAGTAGGTGGGTTGGTTTTTTTGTAACGCAGGTAAACTTGGAAAGGCTTCTATGTATAAGAATTGTTTCCTTGTACTTTCTTAGTAGAAAACTGAAATTAATGCATGTTGCTTTACTGTTCTAGTGTTTTGATGCGTTATGATATGTTTTTATTTTGTATATTCCATGATTTCGTATTTTATCATCCGATTTGATTGTGGGCTTCATAACATAATCAATGGCAATCTGTTATATGAATTACCATGGGCTCTGCAATAGTTTGCATGCATTTTGTAAGCACTTTTACTGTTGCTAGATATGTTTTGCAGTCTTTTCTATGGATAACTGTAGGTTCTGAAGTGTGCTGTTGAGAAACAATTGTTAGTTCTTTCCTATTCTGTGTGGATTATTATAATTGGTCGGCAGCAACATCATGTATTTGATTGTGTCGTTGATATTTTACTCATTAGATGATCTAATATTGTTAAGATTAACTGGATTTAAACACCATTTGTTGAATTCTAGGTAGATGGTTTATAGTTGAACACATGCACTCATTTTTTCATAAGACGATTGAGTTGGATTCTTGGTATATTTTTTTAATCCCAGGAGAACTTAGTTTTGGATACTATGTAAGGATGAAATATGGAAGATTCATTCACCAGCTTTAAGAATGGTAGGTTCAAGAACCAATCGTATATACAACATAAGAAAGCCAGAAGGTGGGATTTTTCATCCCATACTACACTCATCTATTTTCCTTCTATCTTAAACTGTAAATGAATAGGTAACATCAGAGCTTCATAAGCTATGATAGGTGTGAGAGAGATGAGTGCTTGATGCAACAAGAGAGATTGAGGTGAGCGGGAATGTTAGGAAGAGAAAATGATCTGAATAATGAGACGAGCTATTTTGACAAGGGAATTGAAGTATCAATAGTCTTTTCTTAAAAAATGTAGGCATCTAGCATCAAGGCATCAAGAAATGATTGATTCTCTCATTTTAGTTATATCGAGGCTTCAAGAAATGGTTCATTCTCTTCTTGTAGTTATATGAATAGGTTTCTTTGCTATAGTTTTACTTTAAGATCTTGCAACAACTCACCGATTGATGGATAAATTCCTTTTAATATGTTCTTGAAATGCCAATGTACTTTTTTACCTTTTAGTTCCAACTTTTTATGAACTATTCATCCGTCAAACTTTTGGCGATGTAATTTCTTTGATACCACCAGGAAACTTATGAGCTAATAGATAGCACAAAAAACCCTTAAGAAACCATCCATAAGATGAATTTTCTTGTCTTGTTATGTACGGATAACTTTTTCATTTGATGTTTAATTTTTTTGGGGTGACGAAATTGAAAGATCATTAGTCTTTTTCAGAAGGCTAAACTTCAAGGCTTCAACAAATGGTTGGCCCTTTTGATATTATAAAAAAGTTCTTTTGCTGTAACTGCTTCATCAATTGACCTTTATTTTATTTTCATATATTTGTGAGATCTCAACATTCTTTTTTGAACTCTTTTTCTTCTAATTCACCTTCGTGAGTTATTCATCTATCAAAATTTTTGGTGATTTAATTTCAGTGACACTTCTGTGGTTTAAGCCTGTAAGATCTCAAGGCTAGTTGATTTGATGGATCTGTTATGCATGCATGCTCTAGAATAGCAGCAGAAAATGTGCAATGCTCATACGTTGTTCCATAGTATTATTGAATTGAATGTGATTTGAGTTAATTTAATTAGAACTTCTGTTGAAGATAATAGATTTTAATTTCAAGTAAATTAAATTTGAGTGTTTGTAAGACGAGATCTGACCTCTGGGCTTATTTATGTGCCCCCAAATGAGTTGAATTTCCTATTTCCTTTTGTAAAAATATTGACGTGTTATATTATAAAGATGATTTATTAGGCATGATAACAGTTTTTAAGGTCTACAATAGAAATATGATTTCTTAACTATGAATTATTTCAATTAATATATTTGGTTATAGTTTTTGAAAATCTATAAATATTGCGTACAAGATCATCTAGAAAAAATCTTAAACCGTGTAATCTGCGCATTTCATGAGGTTAAAAGCTAGTTTCTTTATATTTGTTGTACTCTATAACGTCGTGGCTGTTACGGTCTCCATCTTAGAACTCTACTTGCAGTTGATAAATTTTCAGTACTCTAAGGTTCATATTGCCAAATCAACAGACCAAACAGCTTTTCAAATGTAATCTGATTCCATTTTGTACTGATTTGTTTCCTTATTGTGACTTTTAAAGCAATCCCGTTCACTTGGTTTGTGCTTACTGAAGGGAATAATTCTGCTGTGTTACTGCTGCTCATTATTCTATTATTTTTCTGCTGATAACTATTTGAAATATTTCTGTTTATTTCAAAACCTTCTGAATTTCATGCCATTTCCTGTCCAGGTTGGCAAACGGATTCGCAGCCTCACAAAACATCCCAAGTCTAGGATTCAAATAGTTGCTACTGATCTGTTCAAATTCTGGAAGAATGTTGTTATTGAGGAGACCAGCAAAGATGGCAAGAAAAGTAGCAGTTCCAACGAAATAACCCTCACCAAAACTGAAACCAAATCCGAGAGATCTGATGCTACCAAAATCGAAAAAAATTCAAAATCTGTTTCATCTATGACTAACATGCACTCAAAATCTGAAAGCCTGAAGCTCGAAAATTTCGCATCAGACAGATGCTCGGTATCTGAGAAAATTTATCGGAATTTCTCGATCAGATGCCATCAAAATTGAGAAAACCATGAAAGATGAATCAGCCAGTTTGTCTTATGAAAGATGCAATAAAATAGAGACTATCAAAGTGGAAAGGTTCTCTAAGGAAGAGAAACAGACATCATTTTCCAAAAACCCTTCCATTCCCACTGGACCTCCAAAGCTCACTGCAATGGTAAAATGTAACGATCCTGTGAGAGACAAACTCAGGGAACTCCTTGCAGAGGCTTTCGTAAAGGTTTCAGAGGAGGCAAGTGAGGATTTGAGGGATGAAGTGAGAGACGTGGTTGATGAAATAAACATATGTGATCCAATTCGTGTTGCAGTTACTGTAGAGTCGGCGATGTTCGAAAAGCTAGGACGGTCGAATGGTGCACAAAAAGTTAAATATAGATCAATAATGTTCAATCTGAAGGATTCTAAGAACACGGATCTTCGTCGTAGGGTTCTCCTCGGGCACATACCCCCTGAGAGGCTCATCACGATGACAGCAGAAGAGATGGCTAGTGATGAGAGAAAAACAACGAATAAGCAGGTCCAAGAGAAGGCTTTATTTAATTCTGAAAGAGGAGGGCCTCCGAAAGCTACAACCGATCAGTTTCGATGCGGTCGATGTGGACAGAGAAAATGCACTTATTATCAGTTGCAGACTAAAAGTGCTGATGAACCAACGACAACTTTTGTGACTTGCGTAAACTGCAACAATCACTGGAAGTTTTGTTGAGAATCAGTGCCGTGATAGTTTATAAATGTGAGGAAGTTTATGGACCTCCTATTTCTTTTGTTGTTATTTGAATTAGATTATTTAGTTCATTTACTGTAGCATGGCTTAAACTCAGCAGTCTTCACTTTTAATGAATTTCTCTTACAATAATTTAGTTATCTCAATGTTTGTTCACTTTACTGTAGGCTCCACTGCTTCAGTTGTATTTAAATTTAAGCAAAATACAGTCATCAGCTAAATACCCATTGTAAAGTTCAGTATAAGAATGTATATTTTTATTTTTTGCTCATTTTTGCATCTTATTTATCCTTATTCTCTATGGTTTATGCCTTTATATATGACTATATTGTTATTAGTAAAGATATACACTACAAATAAATTTATTTTTAAAACGATTTTTCTCAATTTTATGTGAATAATATTCACACATATAATATATATATATATATATATATATATATATAATTTTTTTATTGGGCATTCAAGCAAAAATAACCTTTATTGAATCACATGAGCCTGATGGACTAATGAATTTTCTAGTTGGATGGGTTGGTATCTTTCATTGTTTGAAACACGCCCAACTCGTTTGCCCATATGCTCACTCTTAATAAATTTATCTATCTATCTATCTATCTATAACTATATGGATGGATGGATGGATGGATGGATGGATGGATGGATGGATGGATGGATGGATGGATGGAATTATTAAATTAAGTACAGCTGAAAAATTGGAATGTGAAAGATTATGTATTTAGAGAATGATGATTAAAAAACCGATTTCACGATCTCACTATTCTCTCTCTATCTACCTGAAGCCTCCCTTCCCACCCCCCTGCTCGAAGCTCCCCTTCGCTCTCTATCTACCTAAAATGAGGGGTGTGAGTCAAGCCAACTCGTGAGCCAGCTCGAGCTCAACGCGACAAGCAGCTTTTGAACTGAGCTCTACAAGCTCACAAGTCGAGCACAAGCTGAGCACAAGCCAATCCTGACTCAACTTGTTAGCTTGTGATCCGGCTCATTAAAAAACATAATAATACGAAATATAATCAAAACATGTTAAATTTCAAGATTTTATCTTAAAGATATTGAAAATTTTTAAAAAATTAAATTTTGTATTGTATATTAAGTGATTTTTTTATTATTTATCTTTTTATTATTCATTCTATTTATCATCTTGTTATAAAGTTAGCTTAATTTAATATCATTTTTTCTCTTTTGTAATAAAAAAGCCGGCTTGTCAAACTCGTAGACTTAAGAAGCTCAAACTCAATAAAATTAGTCAAACAAAAGGTATATTTCTTTTTTATGTTGGTCAAATCACAAATCATCAATAAGTACAAAAACAAGATAATCTCTCATATATTTTCAACATTCTCTTCCCTCTGCCATCTCTCCAAGGAAAAATTTTGTATTGCTAAAATAACCTCTTTATTTATAATATCCCAACAGTGGACATAGAGGGTGGAGGAAAAAACCATTGGGACCAAGTGCTTTATTCGAATTAATGGAATGAAAGGCAGCATAAATTTCTTTCTCATCTGGGACATGTGATAAGGATAGGGAGTTAAAAGAGTTTCCATCTTCCAGAAAAAAGTAGAATCGATAGGAGTGATCTGCACAGTAGATTGATAGAGAGTAGTGAAATGATGAACAACACTTTCCCCAATTTCATCCATATTATTTAATATGTTTCCATTCTCATTTTGAATTTTCAAGATACTATTGATGTTCCTTCTATGCTTTAATGTAGCATGAAAATATTTAGTGTTACGATCACCAACAATAAAGTATATATCATTGGTCTTCTGTTGAAGAAGCCCTTCCTCCAAATTAATTGCTTAAAGAAGAAATAGATGTGTTTTTTTTTCCATAGAATCAACCCAGTTAGGAGTGCAAGTATATTGTATTTCCAACTGGTCAACAACATTTTGAGCCTCAACCACTTTGGAGTGTAGATTTCCAAGAACCTGTAGGTTCCACTTCCTCAAAAAAGTAGCAACTCTTTTATGAAGTTGCCAAAGAATGTACCAAGGGGACCCGACCACCTCCATCTTCCAACCTTGCTGCACTAAACTCAAAAAGAACTTATGAGTAGTCCAAATGTTAAAAAATTTAAATCTATAAATAGTAGGTTTATCATTAAAAGCCAATGTGAGCAAGATAGGATTGTGATCAGAGGAAGCAGAATTCAAATGTTGGACATGCACTAGAAAAGTGATTTAAGAAACAACCATCAACAAAAAATCTATCCAGCCTTTGAAAGAGTAACCCCCTTCTCCATGTAAAAGGAGTACCAGCATGCCCCAAATCAAAAAGTCCTGCATCAGAGATGGAATTACAAAAATGGTTTATGAGAGCAGAGTCACACCTACCACCTCCTTTCTTCTCGGTAGGTTGCATATCATATTGAAATCACCCCCAACAAACCAATTATCAGTAATAGTTGTGCCCATGATTTCTAGTTTGTGCCACAATAAATATTTATCCTGCAACAAGGAGCTAGCATAAACAAAGGTGGCCCAACCAAAAAAATCTTTCATCTTAAAGTGGGTTAAAACAAGTTGGTCATCATCTTCTACAATAGATAAAACAACATTCCTTTTCCAAAATATCCAAATTTTGTTATTTTTATTGCAAAAGAATTGAAATTGTTTAAAGTGGCTAAGAATTCTGTTTGCATTGACAAGGACCATTGACTCCAGAATAATAAAGATAAAAATTTTATTGACCCTACATAGGTCCTTCAATCTATTAAGAGAGGAAGGGTCAACCACTCCCCTAATGTTCCAAATCAAAATTTTAAACATGATGTCTGGAGGTTATCCTCCTAGAAGATCTAGTAGGATTGACTGTCTGCTCGCCATCAAAGTGATAGATACCTTCTCGAGAAATATTACTAGTATTGAGCTGAGCAAGTTCCTTTTTATTTTTTCTTATAGAGTGTCTCTGGACTTGCCATTCATTATCCAAAACTTTAGTAGCATCTTGAAGAGACACCTGTAATAAAGCAGAAGAAGGAGAAATATGGATAGCATGTGGAGGTACAATTTCATTAGTCTTTCTGTGTGTAGGCAAGGAGGTGGTGTTATGATATAGAGGAAAGATGGGAGGAGCAATGAGAGCTTCATGCACATTTTGCACAGTGGCAGCATCACTATCCTGCAGAGGATAAGATGTAGTAGGCATCAAAATTGTCAGGTGCACCAACAAAAATAGGCATAGATGAAACATATAGCGTATTATCAATGTCAGAAAAAGAAATATTAGGCATAGTTGGAGCAGTATCAGGAGATAATTTCGAAACATTGGACATGTTTGGAGAAGTATCAGAAGAAAATGTTGAAACATTTGGGGGGGGGGGCATAGAAAAACTTTCTTCATTGTGAGGCTCCACAGCCTCCTTAAGAGTTGCAATCTGAGTAGTATGAGGATCACTACTAGGGGGTGACTTGTTGGGTAGTAGCAATATGATTATCATTAAGAGTAGCCTAGTGGTGACCATTTGAGTGTTAATAGCCATTTCATTTGTGTTGAGGTTTTAATTTGAAGCATTGTATTGTGTGATGACCAAACATGGAGCAATGAGTGCAATATGGTGAGTGACGTTCTATCTCCAGTTGTTGCCAATAGCCACAGTGTTGTAATCCTATCCAGATTTCATTATAAAAGTGTTGTGTGATATCACTTTCAACTAGTATTGGACCATCCGAAGGCCTTGTAAGTGAAAAAGTAGCGGCATTCATTTCCAATAGTTTACCATAGACTACAACTAAAGAAAACAATATTTCATGATTAAAGAGGTGTAATTTGAGAGCAGGAAATCTAATCCATACAGGTATAACCGGCAGTTCAATTTTTGGATTGAAATCCACAGACCATTTTAGAAATTTCATAACCTTGTTTTCAATTCGCAGAAATCACTTAGCAAATAGCCTAGTATAATCTTCATCATTAACAAGTTGGTTTAGTAAATGCCCCCCATCTAAAATCCCAACCTTCCACCAACCCTTAAGTTTTAACATTTCGAATTCCCTGCGTATCACATCTACTTTAGGGTGTCCATAGGTAAACTTTCCAACAAGTGCTAATCTACAAGAGAAGGCTAGAATCGAGGACTCAACATCAGTGATAAACATGGCAAGCTTTTCATTTTTTTTCCCAATTTTTTTTATGAGGGAATAATCTCCACCCAAATTCAAAGAGTCATGAAACCCTTGCGGAAAATGGCCACCACCCCCTCCCCCATCTAGTACAGCATAAACAAAAGATTTACCGGAGAACATATCTAACCGCAGACAACAAAAACAAAACTGACAGGAAGAAAGAAGAAAAGGAAGCAAACATCAACTAAGGACGCAAATAAGAAAGATCTCATCACAATCCAAACTCCAGACGAGAAGAGCTTTACTATTGCCATGGAATCGCCTCGAAATCTCGAAACCCCAGCAGACCGCGCTCAACCAATGATTTTGTTTTTAATCGTAGAGGATACTTGATATGACCCAGGAAAATGGCTTATATTCACATTACTTGAGCTCAATAACTACAAAAAAGAAATACAATTTAAAAATAAATTTTCAAAACAAAATATATTACTTTTTCAAGGAATTTTGAGACCCGTAATTTATTTATAATAAAACAAAAGAATTGAGCGTTAAGGTGACTAAACAAAAGAAACTATTAAATGAAGTAAAACTGGAAAATTGGAACGTGAAAGATTACGCATTTAGAAAATGATGATTATAAAATTACAGTAAAGTTGTGATGAAGAAAATCTCTTATAAAATTACTGTGATATATATATATATATATATAATATATATATATAATTTAAAAAAATTAGAGAACTTTCTTATAGCAATACATAACTATCCAAAAGCCAATCACAAAAGCTAATATTAAGGAACACTTTAGATTTAATTTTAGAAATGGAGGAAATTTTAATAAGAATTGCACAAATTTGCACCTCATTGATTAAAAATAAACAAAAAATTTTAAATTGATTGAATTCAAGCGCTCACCAATATAATAATAATAATAATAATAATAATAATAATAATAATAATAATAATAATAATAATAATAATAATTTGATAATTACTCCACACATGCATCCTCATGCCAAATGTTATACACTTTAGTAATAATACCATATTCCTGATTAGATCAAGCCTCCAGAATTTGAAATACAGAAACTAAGTAGAATCTTCCTAACCATCATCATAAGACATGGG